TCACACAAGAGAAGGGGACGGGAATACTGCAGTGGGAGAGTTGGAATAGCGTTGTGCTGATACTTGGGCTCTGGTCAGAGGGAATTTGGGGGACAAAAAAGTGGGCAGATTAGATACAAATACACTCGGGATAGGAGAGAGATCAGTAGGAGAAGTATCTCTGAGTTACTCTCACCTGAGGTGGACTCACCCTTACCCACCGAATCGTTCATAGCTTAACATACCCAGGATTCTTCCCATGCTGTTTCTCATTTTACCGAGGCATCTTGCCTTATTCTTACCAAAACCTGCTGCTAGAGGATTGGCTTGTCGTCCCAACATAGAAAAGTAACTTGTTTAGAGAAAGATAATATTATATATTCCTGGAGTTTTTATGCATGTGTGCAAAATCCGAAGTATTTTTCTCTTTCTGTAGCACTGCAGTGGCTACTCTCTGTACATCAGAAGTTGTACTTTGTGTTAGTCTTTTACATTTCTTTCATTTCAAAAGAAGTTCTAGAGAAATGACTCCTGGGATACAGTTTTTAACCGGACCAGTTTAGAAGCTAATCCCAGGCTCCCAGCTGGATTATTACAGGTGCAATAGTTGGTCCGGATTGGGATGTCAAAATGAAAAGGTTGGGCAAGATTTACAGCTTCAGGCTTAACATCCAGTTTTCCTTGAAATAAACACAAATTTGTGGCTCTATAAAACATGCCCACTTTGAGGAAACACACTGAGAATTGCTGGTGGGGAGGAACTGTAGTATGACTAATGAAGAAACTCTCTCTGTAGCACTGGCACGTGCTTGGGTGTCCCCTTTTTGCAGACAGAGCCCAGCTTCACCCAAGCCTGAGAGAGAGGAAGGAGGAAGGAAGGGAAGAGGTATTCCTCTACCCTATCAGCTCCCTATGGTTTTCATAAAAGCTAAGTGCAATTGCTGATTCATATGCTTCCCTTTTGGTCAGATGAGTTGCTAAAGCAACTATAAGAAAGTAAATTAAAAGCAGATCAGAGATTAAATCCCTATGGGATTTTTTTTCTCTTGGATTTTGGCTGCTCCTTACAGACATCTTCTGTTTTTGTAATCTTCTTTGTTAATCCTAGGTAGCTGCAGGCTTCTAGATTTCAGAATAGGTCAAGTTTTGCTACAACTCTCAGTATCACAAATTCCTACGTTAGAAGTTTGATGGCTCTTCATTTTTGTGCAACTCTGTAATCAGAAATCAAAAGCAATTGTTCATCTTTCTGGCTGCAGGTACTGCAAACCGCACACATGCTAGCCCCGTTACGGGCAGCAGTGTAGCCTCCTGCTATTGGCACTCACGGACTGAGGCTTGTTGTCCTGTATCTACCACAAGCAAAGCACTTTATTAATGATACCTATACAGAGCTCTTCAATTTCTTAGGATGTTTCAGAACAGAAACCTGTGGCAACAGGAACCTCTTTACAAATCATGTGTAAGTCCTGCTAGCCATCCGAGCTATGTGCGTAGAGGTTTTAGACCGGGGAATTCAAACGCTGGTGGCTGGATATTTACTTCTTTACTAGGAAGCTGTGTACGAGTGAAGCAGCAAAAACCCCCAAAAGACATTACTTACTTCAAGCTAGTAATTTAGGCTGTTTAGTCAGTGGCTCTGCTTACAAACTCTTTTATGGGATGCCTTATCCTATTTTGAGATAGATGTCAGAGACAGGTGGAATGAACTGCATTTGAGGGACGCCTCTAGCCCCCCGCTGACCATGGAAGCAATCAGCTTAAGCTCTGCAGCTTGCTTTTAGACTGCTGAAGGTAGAAGCAATGAATCCATGAAATGTCTAAATCTCTGCTGGTTCAGAGCACAAGACTGAATTCGCTTCATGGACAAGCAGGGTGAGCTTGGGTCTACACGCAAGACTGTTTGAACACATCCCTAATTCATCCTGACCTTCTCATGGAAAAGCGTAATGGGCTGTATTTCTCATCAGACACGTGTAGCAGCAGGCAGCACATTCTTGCAACTTGTCCCAGAATACTCTCTGGGTTTGAAACTTGTTTTGGTTTAGTGAATGCTGGATACGGAAATGGTCTCACTAATGCTTATGCAGGGACAGTGCTACTTCTAGCTGATAATCCATGGCTTGTATACAGAAGGATCCCCTTAGATCTTCTAGAGACAGTTCTGCATTCGGAGACTGGTTGGTCCGTTGTTTTCTATTACCCCATTTTTGGAAAGATTCAGAAAGAACTGCTAATTTCTGAAACAGTCTCTCATACTGTAATAAAACATATCTTCTATGAGCATAATAACTATTTTAAAAATCTGAAATTATGCTTAAAATCTTGCATTATTTCAAACACAGGCAAAACCACCCTTCTTGTTCAGCATTTTTTTGTTCTAGGAACCTTGTTTCCTCGTGAGATCTTAATTTCATTTAGAACTCTAAAATCCCTCAAATTAGTAGATAAATCAACAGTTTCTCCTCCTGCAAATGCGGCATGTAATTTTGTGCCTTCTGCACAAAGGTTCCTAAGTCAGATTGGAAGCTTGGCTGTGACAAATACATATAAAAGGTACGATGTATAGGACTAAGAGGTTTGCAGTATTATTCACCAGGGAACCATCGGTAGATTTTTATGTAATTTCTTCCACTCACGGGCATTCATTGACCTTTCATCTATGACTTATCACTGTAGAAGGAAAAGAAGAAAATGCAACCTGGTGAGCTTTTTGCTTTATCAACCGCTATGAAATCCTTCGATCCCCAGTAAAGTGCCAGTTGGATCAGATGTCACAAACAGAAAAACTACGGCTAGCACAGAAGATCCATCCACTTCAGTAAGTAAATGCCACCAGCCCTGAGTCTCTATTATTATTAGATCTTACCTCTGCATCTTTAGCATAAGTGAACATGATGCAAGAGCTTGTAAAAATCACACAGCAACTCTTAATAAACAGACAGAAAGACTACTTCGATCTCCTACCTCAGTTTGCTGCCAACGCAGAGAAACATGAGGGAGCACCAAGGGTAAATGTGAGCAATAAAACTCACTGAGTTGACTGAAGGAATATCAGTTCAGTGTCATGAAACAGCAAATGACAGACCAATCAGATGAAAAGATCAGGCACAAGTACCTGCAGACCTGCATGCGGATAGTCTTCTTCTCCCTGCACTTCTTTTAGGTCCTAATTGAGCAATGTATGTGTGGATGTGCCTTACTGCATCAGGACTAAAGACATTTAAATCACAAATGAAAAGACAGTCTACAACTAAATGAAGATGATGATAGGTTTAGGGACACAGATTATGCTGTTTTATTGATCAGTATGGCGCATAAAAAGTGAGCCTTAAAAAACTATTTCCTCCTGCTTCCACTTCAAATTCATTGACATTTGTATTTTACTTATATTTTTCTTTCATCTTATTGTTAAATGTTGGCAAAGACTAGAATGTTAATTTTAGTGTGTATAAATAATTTATTGAATAATAATATATGAAAATGAATTTATATGCTTCTCTATAGGAATGACTTTCTATTACTGAAATTTATTAATCAGCACATTCCACTCCATCAAGCCTAAATTTTTTAAGGAAGAGGAGGGGAGGGGGTGGAGAGGCGGTTTGGAAAAATGCAGTACAGTGGGCTGACTAAATCTGAATACTTGGTCTCTGAAAACACAGATATCGGTGCAATTCAAATCATACTGATGAGATACAGAACAGTTATATGCAGTCATAATAACAATTTATATGCCGTCAATATTAATAGCAGTGTCTGAGAATACAGTTTTAAAATAAGTACATACAGTTTTATTAAGTATAAAAAGACACCGTGCAGAGCACAATACAATATATTTCATTTTTAATTCTGGTAGTTCTCAAACTCCACTGTCTTAATTGTCACCAACGACCACTGGATAGAATTACTTGTCTGTACAAAATGAGGCTTCTCTGGATGAATTCATGCTGTTTGGTTTTAAAAATATAGTAATTTCCTTTCAATGGCTACTTACACTAATCAAACACTGTCAAGACTGTTGGCTAGCCTGCATTTAGTTTCTAACATATGCTATGACACTGGCAATTTCCCCTGTTTTAGCCTCTCTCTGTTTGAGATTAAGTCCTTCAAAATACTAATTGTTTCTGGCTTTCTTCCAAGTTCACAACCAGAATGCTGGTTCAGATCATTTCTACATTCCCCATGTTACTAAACTTTCACTGACATCAGCTAGAGTGTTCAACATGCAAGGACTGTAAGGTTGTCCCCTAAGCTCCTTTTCTTCCCCAGTCTTTTCTAACGAAGCATAGAAGACATGCTGAAAATTATTATTTTTTAGAATTTGGGGGTTCCATTTTCTTATTTTCTTGAAAGTAGATGACATTTATAGCCTTCCTGCTTTGACTATTTTCTTTGGAAAAGCAGACATGTAAACTTCAGAACTTAGTTATGTATTTCATTTGAACATTCCAATTTGGTTTAATTAAAAAAAAAAGGACTCTAACTTTAAATTGATTTAAACAATAATGTGAGTCTTAAAAGAAACAACTTACACTTCCTCTTCTCTAAAATATATTAACATTAGACTGAAAAATAAATTAAAGAATATCAAAAAGCTGAGATTATGCTGTCACAGTAATATCTGCCAAACAAAGCTTGGTCTTTTGCTAACATTAGCTTACTACACTTGAAATACATGCTAAGCAAAGACCCTACTTCTCTAACAGGTACATTCAATATATATTTTATGGAATAAATATATAATATATCCAGTTATAGATTTCTGAATGACTATAATAGATACAAGCAATACTTACATTTAAAAATACAGTTCTAGGTTTCCCTAACTTTGCTACTAATAAAATTAAAATTGACCTAAAACCTTCTCACTCTGTTGATGCATAATAAAATATATGGGAACACCAAGAGTAAAAAGCCAATTGCTTCTACAAATGGAATACTTTATAAATATAGTAAATTGCTATTTCCAGAGGAAAAATTGAAAATTATAAACAGGAAGTTAGGTTAAAACAGCTCTACAATATATAGTACAAAGTGGCTATGAAGTGTGATGTATGAGTTTGATGTCAGTGGCAAAATTTTGAACTGATGTAGTTGTTCATTTCTGGAGATAACGGTAGTGAAAGATTCTGTCCCCAAAAGCAGCCAATCTTGATCTCCTTAAAACAAAACTTTCACTGACTAGAGAAAGCCAACTGGCCAATTTGTCAGAGTAAGGAGTGCAAGATTAGACCAAACAAAATTATTTGGAAGCCCTGAACTTCTCTGTTTCATAGGGTTTACCTATCATGCTGTTCTCATTAGGAGTAGATTCACAGAAGTACTATGTATCTGTGACAGCCGTGTGATGAAAAGCTTTATCATGAAGGTACCCTCCCTATGGCTGTCTTAACTACATTATTTTTGTACTGCACATTCTCCAGATGAATTCTATTTTGTGTTCCTGTAGTTTTTTTCCTTTTGCTGGAATACTGAAGTACAGCTCTGGTTGCTTGATTACTGAACTCTTGATCCAGGCTTTTTTTTCCTTGAGAATAACCTAGAATAAGAGAAACGCATTTCTCAGAGCAAGCACAAGGAATTGAGGAATTCAGTTGCCGGCTGTCTCTGACTGCCTTTCTTTCCTTTCAGTTTAAAGAAAAATGTCAAATCAGTAAAAATACCTTACTTGCTAATGAAAAGATTTAGGTACCTGAAAAAATGGAAAATTAACATGAATTCATGTTAGACTGTGCCGCTTGTATGTTTGTCTCCTGCAATGGACCTGTTTTACACAGAAAGCCAAAACTTACTTCATAAAGTACTGTTTATACCTCTTGCCTGAGTCGAGGCCCTGAGGTGGGATTCAGATCCCACTTGGAGCCTTTGTTTGCATCAACAAAGCTGGACTTCTGGTTGTCACAGGACAGGGGGTCTACAAGGTGGGTTTTTTTTCCCCTAAATATGAACAGAGGTCAGTGTCAACATTAATAATCATGAAACCATTACTGGGAGCTTCAGCTTCTGACCATTTGGAGACTTTCTGAGTCACCTGTAGACTCTTACTGGTACAAACATCCTGTCCGGGGAACACCTGGTATGAGATGTCGAGGATGGGGATGTAAGTCACTGGGACATGCTTCCTACTCGATTTCATCTGGGCAAATAAGAGTATATCTATAAATGTATTCATGTCACAAACTCTCACTGATTTCAGAAAAAGCGTATGTATGGACAATCTCTGTACCTCACATGCCATGTCTTTTGACTACACTGGGAAACTTGCAAGCCTCTTGGAAGCTATTGTAATATTGAATGTCAGTCAAGAGTGAATGAAATGCTTCCTGTCAAACTGGGGATGAGAAGTCAGCACTTGTGGGTTCCCTGCAGAGGAACCACAGAATGAAGTCGCGGTTCCCTGGAGCAGGGAAGGGACTAGGAAGGTTTTTCTTCACTTACCAGCAGCACATCTCCATGTTCTGTTGCAGAGTTGTAACACAGTATTTGATAATACATTAAATTGTGTCTAAATCCAGTAGCATATTCTCACTTGCCACAAATGCTCTGGTTTTTATTTAAAAAATGTTCTCAGGAACTACAGACTTCTCATGCAGTCTAGTCCGCAGGTAAGCCAGAGCTGCACAGTGCCTATTGATCTTGGGGTTATTAGTTGGAAATTGGCTCCAGAATTTGTTAGGGCCTTTCACCTATTTTTAAAATGCATTCTTACTGGGACAGAACGCGTGGAAATGTACCAGAGAATGAGCTCTGATCATACTCCCTGCAGCATGGGTTTGCTGGGGCCCCGAGGGCACTGCCAGCTCTGACCCCTCCCGGAGCTCCCCCCACCCTGTCCCCGGCCCAGGACC